AAGTCCATTTTTTAAAGCTTATTTTGATCTATTTTAAAGTGAATTAATTCCAATCTTACAACTATTTATTATTATACCTACATCACGTAAGTATCTATTGTACATAAAAATGAGTTTCTATTTTCGATTATCGTCTTGCCGTAAAATATTCAATTTTTTGTTTTTCGTTATTCATCAGAACCACAACCATAAATTGAAATACAACCAGCGGGGTTTACCCACTTGATTATTGTTAATATTAGTAAATAAATAAAAAGAGCAGGCGATAATAGTTGCATCAAAATTTGTTACTGTTATTAATTAATGTATTACTAAATAATTCAATGTAAGTATACCGTTAGCGGAAAAAAATCATTCGAGTTGTTATTTACCGTTAAAAATATCTAACGAGCCACCAAGAAGCCATAAAAATTAAATTGAAGTAAGTCAGCATAGCATAGCTCTTAGTATTATGTAAAATACTAATAGTAATGTTGATAGGTTTGATGGTTAAATTGAAGTGTTCTGTAAAATTTAACTTTGACAGCAAAAATTACTGATTTTTAAATTTACCTATATTTAACATACGTTGCACTAGTTCTTCTTAAGTAATTACCTATAAATCAGACTAAATTATGATTTTTTTTATAGTTTTCAAATATCATGTTAATAACGGTACCTACTTGTCCACCTTTGGAGGACTGTTTAAATACAAATGACAAATGCCTTTAAAACATCAATATTTAAATACAAATATTGAATACCAAAAAAGCATTTAATATCAACATTAAAACAAATGACCGATGGTTTATTTTACTTTATCTGTTATTTTGGGGTCATTCAAGTTTTACGTAAGCCCCAAAGGGGTGGGGGAGTCGTTACTCTACTAATTGTTGTTAGTGTTACGTCAGCAACATTTATTTATTTAATTTCTGATTTTTCTGCTAAATTTAATAGATTGTGATTTGATCAGACACGACAACTCTACATGTCTGTGCTCGAAAGCGAAAAGCATGCTCAGGAATTCCCCAAAATAATTGATATTATTTTATGGTTACGCTAAAGTGGCTTCCCACGACCCGTATTACCACAGACCTGACTTGACGCCGCGGACAAGAACAGGTGACCACGAACGAGCATGTTCTTTATGGGTTTGAAGCTAAGTTTCAGTATTATTAAAATGTCGCGTGAAGAAAAAAAGAATGACAGTTGCTACCGCAGCTTTTTATTTTGTTCAGTGGTTGATATTTTACTCAACAACAAAAAAAAAGAACAAAAAGCGCTAGTGGATGTCATCATTAAAGAGTTTATTAAATTTTGACTAAAGTACAAACAATAGATATTTCCGTTTTTTCAATCCCACAGTACGAATTCACTTTCCAATAAACTGAAAAACTTATCATCCACTCCATATTTTTATCAAACACAACCTCAGACAACAAGGGTGCAAATTAAACTATTGGATTCAACTAAAGTAAAAAATTAAATTTAACAGCACTCTTGTTGAATCACAGATAATAACAGACGCCAACACGTGGGGCCAGGGCACGCCTTTGAAGTTACCACTTCGAGCAGCACCCTTCCCGCAGCGTGTTTGCGCGAGATGGCGCGGTCCGGCCTGCAATATCGCGGGCCGTGGATAGCCACCTTTAGGAAGAAACGAAATAGGGAAATTACCCCGCCCACGCTATTCATTTGTCTAAATTTTGTCCAGTCTCATATTGGTTCAGATATGACGTGTTCTGAGTAAATGCTTTTTTTTACCATTGGTCTACTTTTGCCACTGTTGAAATGATTTAAAATTTCATCTAATGCAAGTTATACCAAATATTATTCGAAAGTTTTCAAAAATCAGTAATTATCTTAATATATATAAATTACGTGTCACGTTATTTGTCCGCGATGGACTCCTAAACCACTTCACCGATTTTAATCAAATTTGTACACAGTGTGCAGTTTGATTCAACTTGAAAGATAGGATAGCTTACATCTCAATTTATGATCGCAATATTCAATAGATGGCGCTGTGTCAAACCTCCAAACGTTTCATATAACCTACAATTTTAATAACCACCACACGTTGCTGAGGCTAAAGTATAGGTTACATTTTGTAGTAAACGAAATACAGTGATTTTTACTTTTTCAATTTTTGGTGTTAGCATAGCCGGCCACGTGTTACTTAGACTGAAGTATAAATTAAATTCATATTATAGTGAATATAATACAGTGAAATTATTCCTGCTTTTTAATTATTAGTGCTTCGTTGTTCAAAACTCAAATTAAACTATATACATGTAAGTATTATCACATAGTTATATTATTATATATATTGCTCTTTCAATGCGCTATAATAGCATGTTTTTCAGTTTTTTTTTTTCAATATTTCAACGTTTAAATTATTATTTTCAGTCGAATGCAACCGAAAAAATCTAACCCCAACAACGCGAGGAGCAGAGAGGCACGGTAGTAGAAAATCAGTCATGACGGTCGCCATGTTTTCTTACAAATGGCATCTATGTAAAAAAGCATGGTGGTGCCCATGTCTGATGTTCTCCTACCGTTCCCCTTAAATAGTTTACAACAATGTAATATGACAAAAACGTTAGCCACAGCAACGCGCGGCCGGGTCAGCTAGTAGTCTATAAATTCCTTATGAACAACAATAAAGAAACTTTAATAAATTTTAAAAAAATGTACTTATATCAATGTTTACGTAAGCGTAGGGAAGAAAGCAAAAATTCTGCTTACGTAATACTTGAATGGCACCTAATTAGAAGACAAAAACCAAACAAAAGTGAGAAAAAGCATGTGCAAAGTTAAATTTTACAGCGAACAAATGAATAGGGCACAGTTCTGTGAGCCTACTATTTTTAGGTGGGTGAGTGTAATTAGACGTAATATATATATTTTTCAATTGTTTTTATAAACCTGGGTTCATAGCGTAATAGAAGTCGCGCCACTCGTCCATCCACACTTCAGCAACACGGGCTGCGTTGTGCAACACGATTTTCGACACGCCTCCAGGAAACGTGTACGGGGATTTGTCACGAAATACGTGTCCAACGTGCGAGCATGGAATTATCTCTAATATTCCGCCGCACTGCCAAACCTAAACGGGCCCAATCATCAACACCCCCGCCGTACATTACGTAAAATTATTGGCATTTTTCATATATTGATCGTAGAGATGTGCGATTACATATTTAATACTTTCGAGTAATTCGAATTTTTTCGAATATTTAATTCAATTATGGAATTATATTTTCGGTAAAGGTCTAGATGAAAGAGGAGGTCTCCCCCACCACTGTACCATAAAAAGTTCGTGGGGGTCTCACCCCCATAAAAAGTTATGGGGGTTCAAAGTTAATAAATATGCCAATTTTTATACATTTCTAGGCATGTAAATATTTATATAGTCATTCTTAAACAATATTCAAAGGTAAAACTAATGGAAAAATACATAAAAATATTGAGAAA